CATATTGAATCTGGACATTCAACTCATGAAATCTAAGCCTCTATGATAAGAAAGTTTACTCTTTTTTCATTGCTAGGGGTGTGCCATTTCTTAATTCTGTTATTCATACTAGAAACAGAGTATGGAGGCTTTAAAAGAAGAGATTATTTTAAGTGTTTCTCATACTTCCCAGTGGCTACTTCTCCTCTCATGAATAACCTTCAGTTGTTCTTTTTCTCACTAAGAAATTATTGAGGACATGCAGCAAGGTAATGGCTGATGAGTTTTGACTTGGTAATGAACAAAGTTGTTTATATAACTTTTGAAGGCACTTTGTTGTGCAAGTCTATATTTAGCCCTTAGTTTCTCCATAGGGGAATATGTCACATTAAGTACAAAGGGAATTTTTGTAGGTGATTAAATCATTTATTTCATCAAGCATGTTGCTATTTGATTCAATTATTCAAGTCAGCTAACTTTAAGCACCTACTATCTATCATGTAGGCACTGGAGATATAAAGATTAATGAGACTTTAGAGATAAAATGTTGAATGAAGTCTAAGTTAGTTACAGAGTTAAGGACAACAAAACTCTAGAGACTTAACTGAGTTTTACATTTCACTGATAAATAAAGTCCACAGAATATAAATATGTGTCTAATTCTCACAAACAAGAGCAAGTTGACTGAGACTAACACAGGACTCTAAATCCCCAGGTCAATACTACACCAAAAAAAGAATCCCTAAAATAGCCCAAGCAACTCTGTGTGTGTGTGTGTGTGTGTGTGTGTGTGTGTGTGTGTGTGTATGTATGTGTATACCTGAATCAGCAGGAAACCAAACATTACTGCTGCAGACAATGCCCCAAATAGCACTCTACCTCATTTATTGGCAAGAAACACCAAATTAGAATATCAGTGTTGATCCCACAAACTACAAAAGGTAAAAAATAAGAACATTATCTTTTTAAGCAAAACGTAATGAAGAGGTAAGATTTGCTGAGCAATAACATCTAAGTTTTACTGAGATGGCAATATAGAAAACCTTTGGGTTAAGAGCTCATAACACACATACACATTGCTTCATGTAGACTTTAAACAGTACTTTTAAAGCATCCTCTTTGAATAATTTATTTTCTTACCAATGGTAATATTTAACTGATTCAAGCCATGATTACTTAGTAATGCATACCTATAATGTGTAACATATGATACATATGTTATATATTCATTATATGAGATCATCAGATGACAGGGGCCAGAAAATAATTTGTAAATAATGGTTTAGAAAAAATATGAATAAACTTATATCTATGCTCCAATAAATCTGTTTTTAACATATCTCTAAAATGACTGTGCATACTCAGAATAGCTATATTCTTATTTCTAGTTTTTAAACTTGTTTTTAAACACTAAATATAGTATATAAACACATGCCCTTTGTAAAAATAAATACAAGTAATTTCTAAGCATAAGACAAATACATTTCTTATTTAAGATGATTCCCAGGACATGCCTTTATCTCTTCCTGCTACAGAGACCCAATTAATAATAGTAAAAGAATAAAATACAAACTCAACCACAAAGTAACCTGATGCATGAATTTGTATTTGGGAGCAACCAGGAGATGAGACAGAGGAACATGTTTCTAGAAGACAGAAAATAGGTATGAGTGAAGTGTCAGATAACATGGGTTCTGTAGCCAGCAACCATGGCCCTTTCTTATTAATAAAATCTTGTATGGCTGGCATCATATACTACTTCAGGGATTAAACCAGTATTTACCTAATTCAATGACTAACAGTAGTTGCCGTATTCCGATTTACCAAATATTCAGTTTTAAATCCTTTCTTGCAGCTAAGGCTGGCCACGTGATGCAGTTCTGATAATAAAATGCTAGAGAAAGTAAGTTAAGAAACTGTAGCACAACTTTTGCCTTCACAGTAAAAAGAAAGAAATATATGAGGAAAGTCTTTTGCTGTCTCCCTACTTTGGATGCTGTCATGTGAGTATATGAATGTGTGTAGTTGTTGCCATCAACTTGTGATCATGAGAAGAAGACCAAAGAAAACAAAGTATTGTGGGCACAGTGCCTTGGCATCACTGAAGTGCTGAACAAATGCTGGCATTGCCTACTCCCAAATTTTGTTTTCTAATATAATGACATTAATGTATTGGATAAACCAATGCTATTCAGGTATTTTGTAGCCTGCAGTTAAATGTATGCTGGTGGTTACTGATGAACCTTGAAGGGAAAGCAGAGGGAACATGGAGTATATGTACAAAGAACAGGAGACAAGGAGACAGCAGGTGTCCTGGAAGAATACTAAACAGCCTCTTAGTTAAGAAACAACAGGACCACAGAAGACAGAACAGAAAGTGGGTGACTTAGGCTGATGGTAGGTATGAGACATCCCTCCCTCCATGTTGCAGAATAGTCTGTAGCCAACCGTGTATCTGAGGATGGCGGAGGGAAATGTCAGTGGTTCTTTTATAAGGCAATTGAATGAGAGGGAGAACTAGGACAGTTAAGAGAGATGTCAGTGGCCTAAAGTAAAGCCCTCCTCATTCTGGTATTTAGAGAAATATAAGGACAAGCTCCCCACCTATTTACCCTAAAGAAAAACTTTAAATTAACAAATTCTGCAACATTACCAGAGTTTCTTGTCTTTAAATGTGATTGGACATCAATAGATTACCGAAAGAAAACATTCAACGCACCAGAGAAAGACCTAGAAAAAGAGAGAAAACAATGATTCCACAGTAAAGAGAAAGAGTTCAGAAAAGAGAAAATAAATTCAAATAAAAATTTAGTAAGTATAAGGATAAAAAATAAAAACAAAACTAATTTTTCTTTTCACTTTGTATAGCTGTAATATGACATATTTTACACATATAATTCATTAAAGCATACAATTCAAATATCTTTAAGTAAATTTACCAAGTATGAAACCATCGCCACAAATCAGGTTTCAGAATATTTTCATCACCCAAATAAGATTCCTGTGCCCACTTACTGTTAATTCCCTTTTCCATCTTTTGCCGCAGGCAACCACTAACCTGTTACCTGTCTCTGCAGATTTGTATTTTCTGGATATTTTACATAAACGGAATCACACAGTGTGTGGCTTCTCATGTCTTACTTCTTTCATTTAACATTCTACACAAGATTTGAAACTGACACTTAGATTTGTTTGCCATAATATGGCAATCATAAATCATAATAATATGGCATTAGTACTTTAGGAATTTAATTTTGGAGTAGTATTCAAAATGCTTCTTTTAATTACCTTGTTTATATTATAGTAGCAGGTAAATTTCATGGTATGGTAATTTGCTTTAAAATTGATCAAAATAGATTTGTTTTCCTACACAAACACACACACACACATATTCAGGCACAAAAACATGCAAACATGCAGACTCCACAATATTATTTAGCAGGTTTACAACATTACAATCTCGACATGAATGACAGCAGACAGCATAATTGATGGCTTAGGTGACATTTCCTAAAATGCTCTCTATCTTCTCAGACTGGTTCACATGTCCTTCTCTAGTATTCTTGGAGTTTGCATATATGTGACATTGTTCTTACCAGATTGTATTCAAATGAACTCTGTATTAATATAATGCCTCTATTTACTATCAGAATGTCATATAAAAGTAGATATGTTTGATTCATATTTTCAGTTCTAACATCAATCAAGTACATAGTATCTACAGCATGATTTATTCACAATGTTTGTTAACATAAATAGGACTTCTTTAAATTAGCTCAAGAGTGTGAATTTAGACATTTAATATTATATTTACTGTATTTCCTTTTGTTAGGTGACTAAATTGTAGAAGTACTTCTATCATTTCTTTTTTCAAATTTGTTATTTTGAAGCTAAATGTTTAAATTATTTCCAAATTAAAAATAATCAAAGCCTACGGTAGTTCAAATCGTAATTTTTGGAAAACAAAATGGAAAATTATCTCAATAGCTATATAACTTCAGCTGGCCAATAATGAAATCCAAATTTGCAAATGTTTGTTTACCATATTTTGGAAATCTAAATTTCCATAAGGAATTACCCTTAAAAGTCATTTAAATAGAGAGTCCCTCTGTACATGTGGAATATAATTTTCTTCATACTGATCTCATTGGGAATATACAAACTACATTAGACATGCCTATAATATATCTAAACCTCTGGTCTAGCTTTGTTTGATCATAGGACTTTCTAAGCCAATGTTTGGACTCATTTTGGCTTCTGTCTAGACTATACCGTCTGCTTTCTGCCTTCCAGAGTTCATAAAATCTTCTTTCTAAATCATCACCCCTTTCTTTTTTCAACTCCTTTGTGGACGGTTTATTCCATTTTCTGCATCTCTTTTGTTTCTTTTTTATTTCTTATTTCAGGGAATTGTAGTGGGAAGGATAAGGTATACTGTGTTTCAGCCTTCCATTTAAACCAAAAGTCTCAACTGATTTTTTGTTTCGTTTTGTTTTTTGTTTTGTTTTGTTTTGTTTTTTGTTTGTTTGTTTTGAGATGGAGTCTCTGTCACCAGGCTGGAGTGCAGTGGCGCAATCTCAGCTCACTGCAACCTCTGCCTCCTGGGTTCAAGCGATTCTCCCGCCTCGGCCTCCCTAGTAGCTGGGACTATAGGCGCCCACCACCACGCCCAGCTAATTTTTGTATTTTTAGTAGAGACAGGGTTTCACCATATTAGCCAGGATGGTCTCGATCTCTTGACCTTGTGATTCACCTGCCTCGGCCTCCCAAAGTGCTAGCATTACAGGTGTGAGCCACCGCAGCCGGCTGTCTCAATTGTTTTTTAAAAAAGAACATTATTTTAAGATTGAGTGTTGTCAGTTGGATACTTTTAATTGTCAGAAGGAATTTGCTGATATAATAAAAAATGCTGCTAATAATTGTTTTTTCACACCATGAGACGTGTCTTAAGTTGTGGGAAGCCTTAATGGCTTTTAAAAGAAAATGATCAAACAAGTCATTCTTCTTTGTTGTTTTTGTAGAGATTTGCCTGCTGACCAAAGGACGTCGTACTGCCAGTGTTCGAGCTGATACATATTGTCGTCTTTACTCACTTTCTGTGGACAATTTCAACGAGGTCCTGGAGGAATATCCAATGATGAGGAGAGCCTTTGAGACAGTTGCCATTGACCGACTAGATCGAATAGGTACTCTAGTTTTCTACCTTCTTTATATAAAATTTAGTTTTAATCTCATGGCATAACATAGGTTTGCAATTATAAGTCCCAAATGCGGCCAGGAGTGGTGACTCATGCCTATAATGACATCACTTTGGGAGGCCAAGGCAGGTGGACCATTTGAGGTCGGGAGTTCGAGACCAGCCTGGCCAACATGGGGAAACCCTGTTTCTACTAAAAATACAAAAATTAATCGGGTGTGGTAGTGTGCGCCTGTAATCCCAGCCACTCAGGAGGCTGAGGCAGGAGAATTGCTTGAGCCTGGGAGGTGGAGGTTGCCGTGAACCAAGATGGTACCACTGCACTCCTGTCTGGGAGAGAGAGTGAAATCTTGTCTCAGAAAAAAGAAAAAAAAAGTGTCCAACATGCCACTTTATAGCTTACTTGTTAATTTGTGTAGAAATAGCAATTAGCTGTAGCCATATTTCTTGAGAGATCTGTGTCCCTATCTATCTCTTCTAAGTATTCTAGGTTTATTTATTAATGTCTATTTTTACTAGCTAAACAAACTGATTTCCCAACTGAAGCCAAAACAATTTGAAACTTCAGGTAAAAAGCAATGATAAAAATTCTAGATAGCATTGAACTAGAACGAAAACTATGATAATATGAGTCTATATTGCAAACTAAGTTTTAACACTTTTTTTGTATTTTGGGGTCAACTTTACATTTTATCTATATATTAGGAATTGAAAATTTGCACATTTAAAGTAGTCTCAGCAGAGACATAGTAAAATGTTTGTAATACAGACTCAAGCAGAAAAAAAAAACCTTGATAGAAATGCCCTACATAGATGCTTTAGCTCGCAAACATCAACATATTTTAAAGTCTTTTCTGCTACCATATATATATATGCTATTTTATATATATATATATATAAAAAAATATACGCCCAGATAATATTTTGTATTTTTAGTAGAGACGGGATTTCACCATGTTGGCCAGGATGGTCTTGATCTCCTGACTTCATCATCCATCCGTCTCAGCCTCCCAAAGTTCTGGGATTACAGACATGAGCCACCCCAGTCTGCAGTTAATTTTTATAACAATATTTACATGAAATGGTTTGTAATCAATACTGGCAATGCGATTTCTAATAAGCACTAAAAAATTGAATTTTTGATCTTTATAAAATTGTAAGAGTGTATTAAAAGTTACATTATTTTTCCCAAGATTAAAGATACTTAGATTAAGATATTTTGACTAATCACGTAATCAGAAAGAAACATTATGCTTCTCGGTTTTGTGGCCATTGCATATAGATGTAAGCTGCAGTTAGTTAAGCAAATATGCTAAATAGTATTTATGTTTATTACTAATGTAGGAGATTTTGTTCTTTGGGAAATTAGGACAGTCTGTAAGTAGGGAGAGGTAACTATTTATTCTGGCAGTCATTTAAAATGATTGCATTCCCAGCAGTCAATGAAATTACAACATATATTTATTTTCAAAAATATACTTTGTTACTTTTAATGTGTTACTTTATTTAGCAGTATTGCAAATTGATTCACTTTTCAGTTACCATATTCACTTACCTATTAGTGTATCAGTGATACCATAGAAAAGTCACTACTTTCCCCTTCTTTCACCAATCTACTATTGATTGTAATCATTATTATGCCAGAGACTGTCTAGTATTGCAAACCACTCAGAAGATGATGGCAGGAAGAGCTAAAATGTGTTGAGGTATTAGAGGGAGCCTGCAATGCACTATGCCTTTGGTCCTCACAACAACCATTCAGAAGAGGAAAGATCATAAAGTCGGTCTCAATCTTGGCTGCATTTAAGAATTTCCTGGGGAGGCGGGGCGCGTTGGCTCATGCCTGTAATCCCAGCACTTTGGGAGCCCAAGGCGAGTGGATCACAAGGTCATGAGATCAAGACCATCCTGGCTAACAAGGTGAAAGCCCATCTCTATTAAAAATACAAAAAATTAGTGGGGCATGATGGCGGGCGCCTGTAGTCCCAGCTACTCAGGAGGTTGAGACAGGAGAAGGGTGTGAACCTGGGAGGCGGAGCTTGCAGTGAGCCGAGATCCCGCCACTGCAACTCCAGTCTGGGCAACAGAGCGAGACTCCGTCTCAAAAAATTAAAAATTAAAAATAAAAATTAAAAAAAAAAATTTTTAATAAAAAAATTAAAAAAATAAAAATAAAAAAAAAGAATTCCCTGGGGAAATTTGCTCTGGGAAAAAGAATTCCCAGAGCCCATGTCTGATTATTTAGATTTAATTGGTAGGGAACAAGTGGATGTTAGTATTTTTTAAAGCTCCAGAGATAAGAAAAATATCCAGCTAGGACTGAGAAGGACTGGTGTAGGACCCTGGGTCGAAAGCAAAGGCGGCCCTGATACAGTCCGCCTCAGATTTGCATTTGGGAATCACCTGCGGATCTTAGTAAAATGCAGCATCTGATTCAGCGAATGGGGTCACACCCAGGAGGCTGTTTCTAGCAAGCACCCAGATGAGACAGAGGCAGTTGGTTCATTTTCCATAGCAAGGATGTGCTATCACTTCTTTGTGTGTATGGTCTTTCTCAGCCCTGTTAACCTGCCAACCATGTTTTCTTTGTTTTCTTGGGCACTGTTCTTATTCTTCTCATGACCTGATATCCTTTCAGGTAAAATGAGATTATGAACACACCTATCTGACAGGATTGCAGGTTACATAAAATCATCTACCTAAGGTCTTTTGTAGAGAGCCTATCACACAGTAAGTGTTGAAATGTTCTCGCTTATATCTCCATGGTCCTTTCTTGAAAAAGTAACTTTAAAATCAAATGTTGATTCCAAGCCCATCTTATTCCAAAAACCCTTTCTTCCCCCATTCTTCAAGGTGGCCCTCATATTAAATATCTCCTTGTCTTCTGTAAAGTGGCTCTTCGCCATATTACAGGCCGTTCAACTTGAGTAGAAGGTAAGAGTTCCCAGAGAAATACAGGAAGTGTGAAAGGTAGGAGCGACATTGGTATTTGGTGTGTAAAGGTGAGTGACTGGCTTTTTAAACCTCTCCTGCGAAGCACAGCTATACTTTTGTTTTCAGGAGCCACTCTTACTTGGCGTTGTCTTCAGTCATTGGTAGGCTTTCTAAGTTCCTATCTTTCTTTTGCTGACAGGAAAGAAAAATTCAATTCTTCTGCAAAAGTTCCAGAAGGATCTGAACACTGGTGTTTTCAACAATCAGGAGAATGAAATCCTCAAGCAGATTGTGAAACATGACAGGGAGATGGTGCAGGCAATCGCTCCCATCAATTATCCTCAAATGACAACCCTGAATTCCACATCCTCAACTACGACCCCGACCTCCCGCATGAGGACACAATCTCCACCAGTGTACACAGCGACCAGCCTGTCTCACAGCAACCTGCATTCCCCCAGTCCCAGCACACAGACCCCCCAGCCATCAGCCATCCTTTCACCCTGCTCCTACACCACCGCGGTCTGCAGCCCTCCTGTACAGAGCCCTCTGGCCGCTCGAACTTTCCACTATGCCTCCCCCACCGCCTCCCAGCTGTCACTCATGCAACAGCAGCCTCAGCAGCAGGTACAGCAGTCCCAGCCGCCGCAGACTCAGCCACAGCAGCCGTCCCCACAGCCACAGACACCTGGCAGCTCCACGCCGAAAAACGAAGTGCACAAGAGCACGCAGGCGCTTCACAACACCAACCTGACCCGGGAAGTCAGGCCCCTCTCCGCCTCGCAGCCCTCGCTGCCCCATGAGGTGTCCACTCTGATTTCCAGACCTCATCCCACTGTGGGCGAGTCCCTGGCCTCCATCCCTCAACCCGTGACGGCGGTCCCCGGAACGGGCCTTCAGGCAGGGGGCAGGAGCACTGTCCCGCAGCGCGTCACCCTCTTCCGACAGATGTCGTCGGGAGCCATCCCCCCCAACCGAGGAGTCCCTCCAGCACCCCCTCCACCAGCAGCTGCTCTTCCGAGAGAGTCTTCCTCAGTCTTAAATACAGACCCAGACGCAGAAAAACCACGATTTGCTTCAAATTTATGATCCCTGCTGATTGTCAAAGCAGAAAGAAATACTCTCATAAACTGAGACTATACTCAGATCTTATTTTATTCTATCTCCTGATAGATCCCTCTAGCCTACTATGAAGAGATATTTTAGACAGCTCTGGCCTACACGTGAAATGTAAAATATATATACATATACTATAAAATATATATCTAAATTCTCAAGAGAGGGTCAAAAGACCTGTTTAGCATTCAGTGTTATATGTCTTCCTTTCTTTAAATCATTAGAGGATTTAAAATGTTGTTGTAAGATTATTTATTTCTAACCTACTTTTACTTAAGTCCTTTGATATGTATATTTCTCTATTTTATGAAGAGTTCTTGGATTCAATGGAAACAAAACTGATCTTAAAAAAGGCAACTCAAATGAGCTAGCAAATAGCACCAATCAAAACTTTCTTTCATTAGCTGTGACTGTGCATCTAAATTGTTAATCATTAATCATGAAGAATTAAATAACAAATCCCATTTTATAGATCTAAATTGTATTTCGGTGCTTTCAATTTCGAATTAGGTTAAAGACTGCACTACTTGCTTGGCCACTGTAGGAGACTAGCATTGCCACTGTTAAGAATATCACTAACCTCCTACTTCGGAGGCTGAGGCAGGAGAATGGCTTGAACCCAGGAGGCGGAGCTTGCAGTGAGCAGAGATAGCGCCACTGCACTCGAGCCTGGGCGACAGACTGAGACTCCGTCTCAAAAAAAAAAAAAAAAAAGAAAAAAAGAAAAAAAGAAAAGAGTATCACTAACCTCAAACATGTTCATTGATCTTTCAGAAAGCTGAGGGAAAATTAATATTTGTCTTCATGTGTTATCGGACTTTTACCAAGACTCGATCAATGTTAGTTGTAAATAACTTTTTCAACCCAAATAAAAATAGCTATTCTGTGTTGTATGAAGCTAAAAGTCATTGTTTAAGAGTTTAGTTTTATTGCTTCACTTCAAAACTTAGAGTTTTAAATTTCACAAAATCTGATTGTGAGAATTATTCAATTGTAATGCAATGGCTTGAAACCTACAATATTATTTTAACCTGCAATGTTTTATGCAAAATTGTATGCTCGAATCTACAACTTGCTTGTATTACACCAAAAATCATTATTTTTCTTTCTTCTTGCCATAATCAAGCATCTGAAAATAGTCCCTGCATGCTTCTGGGGGAAAAAAAAAAATAGGTTCAAATCAGCCATTGTAGGGAACGGCTTACAGTATTTCTCGTTTCTAGAAAAGCATAACAATTCATTAATTGCCTCTCTTATAATTCCTATAAGGCTGACTTGGATCTCTGACTTAAGTCTAGAAGTGAGGTTTTCACTTTTATTTAATATTATTGCTATTATTATTTAAATAATTATTTGTAAACCACAGCTTGATTTGGAGTTAAGTATTGTCTATGTCTTCACTGTAGCTGGTAATTTACTATGGTGTTAATTTAAAGAAATAAATTCAATACAGCATCACGTCTGTTTGGGAACACACATTTTGCTCTATGTATATTGTAACTAAATGGTTAGTAAACTTAAGGCATGTGGTGACTAATGTAGCCCTTAGATAGGAGGTTTGTCATTTTTAATGTGTTGAAAATAGTACAGACATGGTGGCAGAAAGCAGGGGTAAAGTTGAATGTCTGTGAGCATTGTTTGTCTGTTTTCTTAACTCTTTCCATGATCTGTGAGCACTTGCTTCTTCTCAAAGAACTCCCTTAGTAATCATTTGTGCCTAATGCATCCCACACATGTGGCGTATGACTGGAACACAATTGAAAGATACCTAATAACTGGCTTCTGTAAATAACCCAAGTTAACAGCATGACGTAAGTGTAGGTCTTCAGTATCTCTGGCATTGGCAATACATTTAAGAACATACAGAGATTACACATTATATGGGGCAGGGCCTGCAGATAGACTTGAGGACAGAAAACAAAAACAAAAGCAAAAACTCTAAAGTGAATCCTTGCTGCCTGTTATGCCTTTTGCGGATATAATACCTATAATACCCAAATGAGTTGTTATGTTTAATTTCAAACAAATACCAATTTGTGTGGAAGTAATTAACAATGCTAGTTAATGTAATGTAATCATCAGTATGCTGGTGACATATGATGGCATGTCAGGAATACTGTTGTAAGAAAGGGATTGTTCAGTCTACCTAGAACCTATGGGAAAGCTGCAAGACCATTTACATATCAGTACAAAACTCCTTTATTTTATTAAAATATGAGAGTTAACTTCAATTTATTAAGAGTATGTATTGGTCCTTTAAATTATTAAAGGTTTACATTTGATAGGATTAATGGATTTGGTAGTGAAATATTTTTATATATATAAATTTTTGGTTTTTTATTTTGAGCACTATTGGGAAAAATAAGCAAAATTGAAATGCATGGTCTTTCAGTGCAACCATACAATTTTTATTCACTTTGTAATAGAATGGACAAAAAAACTAAGGTTTATATGTTAAACTAATAAAATGGTACAGGGTAAATTATATACATATATGTATGAATGTATATATACTTAGATTAAGAAAAAAAAATGACTCACATTCCTGTAATATAAAGGTCCATTGCTAGTTGAAAAGTGACCTCTTTTCTCTGTACATAGTGAAGACTGTATGTATGGAGTTTTAATCTGTACAGAAAGAAATGTATTATTGATTGGTCTTTCTCCTGCTGGGAAGATAATAGAATAGCTTATTCTTACAACAATTGTATGATCAGGGATGAGTTAGAGTATTTCTTTTGTCTTTGCTCAAAGCCATACATATATAAATATATATAAAGATTATTAATAAATTCAACAAAAAATAAACTACAATCATGAATATTTTATTTTATCAATATATGCTAATCAAATGTTTTATTTTATTAACGAATACAGCTTTGCCTCTATTTTTACATCACAAAATTTCCAAGAGCTTATACTTGATAATCACATAAAATAATTATATTTTATAATTCTGGAATAAGCGGACTTTAAATGGAACATGGATTTTTCAACCACTTCTCTGTTTCACCCTTTACATATAGTAAAATATGAGCTTATTTTCTTTTTCACTCTGTGCCTTTTTAGAATGTGGTTGTTCTCCAACTTCAAAACACAGCCATTTTATGTAATTATTGGATATACGGATGAGAAATAATTTTCCTGTAATAGTAAATAATTGTCCTGTAATATATTTATACAAACCTACTTTGTTATAATAGTTCTATAACATACCAATTTTGTTATAATAGTTTTATAGCATACCTATTTTGTTATAATAGGGCCTTGTGCTCTATTATAACAAAACAGGTTTATATAAATATATTCATATTTATAGCCTTAAACAAAATAGGTTTGTATAGTACGCCCAAAGCCCTATTATAACAAAATAGGTTTGTATAAATATATTCATATTTATAGCCTTGGGCCCTGCAAAGGTATTTGGATAGTGATAGAACCTCCCCATACAACTGTGTTTTAAATGATACCTAAAAGCCTGAGATACAGTTTATCATAATGAGAATAAGTAGTGAAGCATTCCTGAAAACAAGGGTGATAAATAGTAGCGATGGCAATATGTTCTATTCACCAAAAAAAATAGCTTGTCTCCAAGTCTGGTTGACCTCTTCATAAGTGAATGATTCCCTGATGAATGCTGTTCCACTTTAAAGAGATGGTTATTTTGCGATTTATAAACTTAAATGAGTATACTATTTTCAGGACACTACAAAGTACATAGGCAAGTTATTACCGTCATTCCTATAGGGCATGGAATGATTTAAACAATATGGCATGTTTACAATTTTAGGCGATTTATTTCAAATCCTGAATTATGTGTACTTCAAATTATGAGCAATCTCTATTATCTTTCAAGACTATTTAAAAAATCTCCATACCTCCTCTTTCAGCTTAGGTTTTTATATTTGTTGATTTTACTATGTCACTTTGCTTCTATGGCCCTCATTTGCACCGTTTATAATGTTAAGCTGTTTGAATGAGATATCTCTCCATTATATCTTTATCTTTTTAGAACATGTGCCATAAAACCCATGTGGTTATTTTGTTCATATGTATCACAACTAGCAAACTTTTATTATTATATGTTCACCTACTTTAAAAATTACTCATACTGTACCATGGGAAAGAAACATGGTCCTTATAGAATTGAATGCTGAGCTATTTTGAGTCCTGAAAAGAATGGCCAAAAATTTAAGGAACTGTGATTGCTGCATGCACCAAATTGTAGCACATTTCTATAACTGTATTCAATATGGTTATTGTCAAGGAAAACTAGGATAGAAATTTTCTTTGAAAGATTTGCTGTTGTACTTAGGTAAGTATATCTGCTTTTACCACTCAAAAACAATTACTTTCTTAAGCAATTTCAATTTTTTCCTTTTTAACAACCCTGCACTTGCACAACCCTGCCTCTCTTGCCTCACCCTAATCCTGACCCTGCTTTCAATTCAGGCTTTGACAGGGACCAATGGAGATTTTAAGGTTTTTTAATGAGAGAAGCCTTGCTGACATTCCCCCCGTCCCACCTTGAAAATTGCTTAAAGATGATCTTAAAAGAACCTACAGATAATGCTCTGAATGTGTTTCCAAGGTCCTTGATGTGGAGAGAATGAGTTATATTAAATGCTGGAGAAAGAATTATCATTTAGTGAAAAATTAAACTTGCTTTTCTAAAATGTGGATGTTTAACAGAGCACAGCTGATTGGGAACACGGGCAGTTCAGTGCAGCTGGAGTGTCTCACAGGGTGAAGAGGAACCCAGATCAAGTGGGGAATAGGGATTTCAAAAACCTTCTGAAAGGCTTTTAACATCAGGGCAAAAGTTTTACAGTGTTATACTTTATATTCTTAATTTAAACTTATCAGCGGGAAGGATTCACATTGAAATGTCTGTTTTGCTCATGTAACAAGGAATAAAATAATTTATTTTATTATTTAAAATAATAAGAGCAAAAACTGGAGGCTATTTGCAAACTCACCCTGCCTTGTGAGGATGCTGGGTCTTAAGGAAGGTCCTAGGATTGCTAAATAGAGTAATGGGAATAGGAAACTGAAAGTTTACTTGCTTTGCGTAAGATAAGGAATATATTGCAGCAGGGAAGGGGTACAAGAAGATAAGAGCTAGAAGAACCTGTGAGAAGGGAAAGAAGTGACAAACTAATTTTGGCTAAAATAAAGCAATTTCTCAGGTCAGGCGTGGTGGCTCATGCCTGTAATCCCAACGCTTTGGGAGGCCAA